GGCTCAGGAAGGAGGGCGGGTGGGGGCTCTCCAGGGAGACACAGGACTGGGGGGAGAAGGGGTTCGGGAGGAACGACAAGCAGCTTCGTTTAGGTCCCACGACCCGTGGGCTCCGTGCGGGCCCCGCAGGTGAGGTGACACATTGGAACAGCAAGGAGACATGGGCAGGACACTGCACACTGACACACACAGACCTGTGTGCTGTGGCTCTTTACCTTGATGGCGGGAACGGGCTTTGTGGGCGCGAAGCGCTGTCTCTGGAGGGGCTGACAAGCTTCGTCCTCTCCTTTCGGCTTCAGCTTGCTCTCCGCTATGATCTTCTTGCGTTGCTCCAGGTAAGGCCCAAAGCTTGGCAGTTTCTATAAGGAAAACACACACACACACACACACACACACACACACACACACACGAGAAAGCGCGTGAGCCCGTGGAAGAGAGCGGTGCGAGGACGTGAACACGGACGTCACCAACACGCCGCGGTGGGGCTGAGACCGTCCCGCGTGCACCGTGCAAGGCCCTCATGCCTGGACCAGGAGCTTCTGGCCCCAGATTCTGCTCATTATTCAAAAGAACCCAAGGGCTCCGTCCCCCTACCGAGCACGTGTATCTCAGACACACACACACACACACACACACACACACACACACGTTCGTTAACATACATTCCTCCATGGAACGGGGTTCGCAGTGGGGACGATCCACCCACGTAAAACCCTCGCTGCTAAGGAGACGTGCGTGTGGGGTGCCCAGGCAGGAGGTGGCACTGCTGACGCCTTTTCCCTCTTCATCCCGCACCCCCTCCCCCCATTTTGATTATTCTTTATCCAAAGGGGGAGAAATAAAGTAGCTGAATGGAAACCACGGAGACTTCGAGTGGTCCCAGGGATGGGATAATAATATTAACAACACGGTCTCTCTTGGTTCTGAACAGAACATCACCTCTGTGAGGACCCCTGGCTGATGCTGTCGGCCACATTGGCTGTGTCTGCATTTCACAGCCTCTCCATGGCTCAGAGTTACGTGCTCGTTTTTTAAAAGTCTTTTTTAATTGATTTCAGAGAGTAAGGGAGAGGGAGACAGAGAGACAGAGACATCAATGATGAGAGAGAATCATGGATCAGCTGCCTCCTGCATGCCCCACACTGGGGATGGAGCCCGCAACCCAGGCATATGCAAAAACATCCCTTCCTCTCTCTAAAAATCAATAAGACTATTTACAAAAAAGAATGTTTCTCACCTAATAACTGACTTGTTTGGGGACCCCCCCCCCCGCACCCACAACATATTTGCATGTGACTTAGTTACATTGTTTATCTTTTGCCATCTATTCAACCAACTAGAGGCCCGGTACACAAAATCATGCATGGGTAGGGTCCCTAGTGGCTGCCAGCTGCCGGCAGGGCCTTCCTTTGTTCTGCGCTGCCCCCTGGTGGTCAGCACATGTCATAGTGAGTGATTGAACTCCCGAGGGGACGCTTTGCATATTAGGCATATATATATATATACACTTCTACTGTTCCATCAATTTACATATTAGCCTTGTATCATATAGGGCTAGAGGCCCGGTGCATGAAATTCATGCACGGGGGGGGGGGTGTCCCTCAGCCCGGCCTGCACCCTCTCCAATCCGGGGCCCCTCAGGGGATGTCTGACTGCTGGTTTAGTCGGACATCCCTCTCGCAATCTGGGACTGCTGGCTCCGAACCGCTCACCTGCCTGCCTGCCTGATCACCCCTAACCACTCTGCCTGCCTGCCTGATTGCCCACAACTGCCCTCCCCTGCCGGCCATCTTTGACCACATCGGGGCGGCCATCTTGTGCAAGGGTGTGATGGTCAGTTTGCATATTACCTCTTTATTATATAGGATATATACTAGAGGCCCAGCGCAAAATTGTGCAGCCACGCCCACCTGGGCTCACCTCACCGCGCCCAACCACCCGCCACCCCACCTGCCAGCCTTGCTGCAACCGGAGCCTGTGGGCTGCGGGGGAGGGACTGAGAGACGCTCCATGCACTTCATGGTGACCGGTCATTTGGTTGTTTTGGTTGTGACACCTCTGGCCTTTTATTATTATGATATGCATACATATATATGTATTTATATTTCTATTAACTACAGAAATGTGGTAAATTCTATGTGTGTATAAATGAATAAATAAATATGTGTATATATATATATGTGTATTTAAATATGTTTTTACTGATTTCAGAGAGGAAGGGAGAGGGAGAGAGAGAAACATTAATGATGCGAGGGAATCATGGATCGGCTGCCTCCTGCACGCCCTCTACTGGGGATTGAGCCAACAACCCGGGCATATGCCCTGACTGAGAATCTAACCCTGACCTCCTGGTTCATAGGTTGACGCTCAACCACTGAGCCATGCCCGCTGGGCAATTAAATTATATTTTGGTCTAAGAAGAGTGTGGCTATTGTAGAGACTAGTGGATGGTCCTTTTGTGGCTTCTTTTTTATGCCATTGACTAACTTTTTAGTCCTCAATTGTGCTGATTAGTAAAGTAAATAGAATGCTACCTACGTCCCCGATATTTTTCTTCAATTCTGGGCTGTAGTTAGAGCAGACGACGCTCTATGATCTTCAAAGTAAAGGTGGACGTACCATGGGGCCAGGGACTAGCGAGGCGTGGTCCTGACACATCATTTAAGTTTTAAAGGTAAAAACCTCAGCTTCCAGCTGATGAAATGCTGACTAATCTTTTTTTAATGATAAGAATAACACTGCAGGTCCCCATCGGAGTTCTGAAAACTTGGTATTTTTAGATATCAGCGACATATTTGCTTCCCAGACCAGTCAGTGGTGAGATATACACACACAGAGTTTACCATGCTTCTGTAGTTAAAATTTATTTTTCTAATAAATTCTGCTTTAACATTAAGGCTGGGGTTTGGCGAGTTCATTGCCACTAGGCCCTTTATTATTTTCTGAAATTGGTACCATCAAGTGAATTTAAGGAAACCAGTAAAAAATTTAACTGAATAGGCTTTGAAATATCGTACCTTCCACAGCCCAGAGGACTCTCTTACGTCCTAAATCCGATAAACAAAGCAAATCTATGAAGAAAAATATATATGCTTCTTGACATCACATTTATATACCGGCTTATTTATGAAATTCTTCTTTATTGGCCTTTCGAATGTAAGAAAATCAACTATCCAGAGGCCCTAAAATGGATCAGAGCATTTATTAACTGAGGAAATGTACATGAATGCATAGCAACAATTACTCTGGTGGTTTTTTATTCCTTCATTCATCTTCCCCTACTTTTCCTAGTTCAGTTTCCATCGAATCTGTAGGAGATTTTAAAAAACAGCCTCATGACCCCATCCTAAGTGTCCAATTTCCAAGGGGTCATGAACCCGTTTCTCATCGGCTGGGAGCTTTCAAAGGCGCTTTCAGTGTCCACGACCACGTCCCAGCCTGGATGAAGGACGTGAGCGAGGCAGGGGATACAGGACTACACGTGGATGCAGTGTGCGTAGTCCCGCCGACCCTCTGCGGGGCGTGGGCTGCACGCTGCAGGTGGCCTGGCTGACCCTGTCCCTCAGTGAGTGTGGCATTGGAAACTGGGACAGATGGCCCGTCAGTAATAAGGAACTTGTTTTTGTTTTTTTTTAAAATATGGTTTTATTGATTTCAGAGAGGAAGGGAGACGGAGAGAGAGGTAGAAACATCAATGAGAGAGAATCATCATCAATTGGCTGCCTCCTGCATGCCCCACACTAGGGATCGAGCCTGCAGCCTAGGCATGTGCCCTGACCGGGAATGGAACCAGTGGCCTCTTGGTTCCAGGGTCAACGTTCGACCACTGGCCACTCCGGTCGGGAAGACTGCATTCGTTTCGTTCTTTTACATTTTACTCCTCGGATGGGCTGGGTTTTAGGGTGACAAGGCGTTAAGCATTTTTGTTGACCATGTATCTGTACACAGGAGCTGCTCAGAGAGGTGTTAGTGATGCTGGTGGAGAATGAGTTAGTTGGGGCCTCTCTGGGGGAGTCACTGGGGCGGCGGCTGCTGACCAAGGCGATGCGCTCCCCGGGGGTTAGGGAAGAGCCGGTCGGCCTCGGGGGCGCCACTTGGTGATCAGGCGGCAGCGACCAGCCCTCGCTCATGCGGTCAGGTGGCTGACGTGGTTAGGTGCACCCCCCACTCACAACAGAGGCTGCCGTCACCCAATAAAGCCCACGGGACCCCACACTGACGCTTGTCAGGAAGAAATCGGCCACCATGGCATATTTCTTCTTAAACTCTGTGGATTCACAAATATTATTCAAAGTGTAATTTCCCCAGAGGGCTCCACGTGGAACCCTGGAATGCTGGCGTCCCCGTCCCGGCGTGAGCCAGCCTGGGGCTCGGTGCCCAGCGGTTCCCGTGCCCTGCACCCTCCCCCTCTGTCCTGATCGCCCAATCACAGCTGGATCAAGCACATGGGATTCTTAGGGAGACACAGATTACGTTTTATTCTTCTGAGAAACAGGTCATAAAAGTAAAGATATTCTCAAGGTAGTTTCACAAGATGAACCTTTCAAAGAAAAACCAAAACACTATGAAAACCCTACTAACGTCACTCCCAAGTAATGAAACAGTGCCCAACCCAACGACTTGGTTTTTACTCATGGATTTAAAAAAATCTCAGGCTTCCGGTATTTAAGATTCTCTCCCTCTGACTTAAATTGAACCAACTGAGACATCTTTGGTCTTAACGTTATTCCCACCACAGCCGACACCCAAAGCTTCTGAAAACGGAAGTCACAACAACCCCTGTGTAAGGCCGCTTCCTCTCGGCCGCCGTGGACATTCCACTCCGCGGCACTTGGGCAAAGAGGACATCCTTAGCCAGGGAGTGAAGGCTGCTTTCCCGTGCTAGCCACCGAGTGTCCCCCAGTAGGTGCCGGCCTGTCCCTCTAATGAGTGTCTTATCTCAGTCACAGGCTTTCCTTTCATGACAACCGTCAATCCTGCCGTAATCCTCTGACTATCAAACCCCAACAGGTATTGTCACAAGATAAATGTCCAATAAAGAAGCGTCTCAGGCATGGCCGGTGTGGCTCAGTGTTTGAGCATCGACCTATGAACCAGGAGGTCAGGGTTCGATTCCCGGTCAGGGCACAGGCCCGGGTTGTAGGCTCGATCCCCAGTGTGGGGCCTGCAGGAGGCAGCCGATCCATGATTCTCTCATCATTGATGTTTCTGTCTCTCCCTCTCCCTCTCCTTCTTCCTCTCCCTCTCCCTTCCTTTCTGAAATGAATAAAAATACATATATATATATACATA